GGGGGTTGGGGACCGCTGGTTTATAGCACATAACACCTTTGAAAATATGCTCTGGGTCACATTTAAGTCCAGAAAATCACGTAACTGTTTGGCATCTTCGCTTTGTTTGGTGGTTTTAGAAATGGTTTACCTGAGATTTTAGCTGAGATTTAGAGGTTTCTGTGGATACCACACATATGACTTTAAACTATAACTATAACCTTGGCTAGGATGACATGGGGGTACATACAGACAACCTGACACTGATTAAATACAAACAAGTGGAGATCAAGAGAAGTAGCCGCACACTGGGAAACAGCTGACACAAACAAATCATAATGACGCCACAAGGGAAGTTTAAACTAGGCACATAGAACAAGACGACAAGACCTTCAAAATAAATAGGAAGCATGATGGGATTCAGATGTGACCTGAAGTTGACAACAGGAACCATGCAGACACAACATGACAGGTAAGACACACCCAACAACAAGGGGAACTTGGGAAACTATGGGAACGGGGGAAGATGACACAAGGAGTCTAAATGAGCACAGAGCTATAACTATGCAACTGAGGAGCTAAAGAAGACTAAAAGAACCAAAACATAAACAATGAATATCAAAATACAATGAAACACTGGGTTAAACGACCCAGGACCGTGACACGGTGACCCCAGATGCAGACGTCAGGTTCAACATTCAGCCAGATTTTATTTAAACCCACATTTAAAACGTTTTATGCATTTCAAACCGATTCCACAGGCTGTTTTATGAATTCTGTAAGCTCTGTACCCACCTTCGTCTCCTCATCTCGGAGGTCCGGCATGGTGCTGATGCACAGACTGATGACGGTGACCATCACCATGACGATGGAGAGGCAGGCGAACATCTTCCCGGCCAGGCCGGAGTGAGGGTTTTCCACCATATCGCGCAGCACCACGATCAGTCTGCGATAGCCCTTTTCCGTCTGTGAGCTGCTCTTCTTCAGCATCGTCCTCTTCTGCCTCCACTCTTCCTCCTTATGCTCCCGCTCCGCCACCTCCTCCACCCGGGCCATCATGCGACGGCGGCAGCAGCGCTCCATATGTCTGGGGTCCACGCCCCAGTAGTCGAGCTCGTCGTGCAGCGAAACGGCACATAACTCCCGGAGCAGACGCAGTTTGCCTGCAGCCAGGAAGTTGAGGATGACCCTAAAGGCTGTTGGGTTTCGGTCGAAGAAGAACTCCTGGCAGGTTTCGTCGTAGTCATCGCAGAGTCGTGCGATCTCCTCGGGGGTGGTGCAGAAGCGCAGGCGACCCAGACGACTCTGAGGAAACTGCTCCAGGGTGCTCCAGGGGAAGGTGTAGCGGTTGCCGCCGACATTGACCAGAACCTGCAGGGTGTGGTCGACCACGTATGAGGCCTTCGGGTCGCGCAGCAGCTGGGCGCGCTGGAAGTAAACGCCTTTGAGGGTCTCGGTCTCCGGGATCTCGGTGAAGAAGCGGTCGAGGCTGCTGTCGTCGCTGCTGATGGAGTAGGTGCTGAAGTCGTGGTTGGCATTGCTGATGATGGGCATGCTGGCAGCTGGATGTGTGACGGGATCGATGAGATTTTATTATGTCCGACTGACCGGAGTTTTACGGAAGCTCCACTGAAACTGTAGGGAAGCAAAAAGACAGATTCAGTCTGTTGAAATCTTCCATTAATTCAAACTTGTTTGTCTCCAAGGGGCTCAATCCGGTCATTAAGTCTGACGTCACTAGCCGTGTCTGGGCCTAAACTCCTCTGCAGCCACATATCAAACGATCACTATGGCATTACTGAGAGTTAAAAAACTGTCTAAAGTCTTTCATCTTTAATAAAATGATCAGCGTTCTGCTCTACCAGGTGTAACAATTGAGTTTAACATCCATGAAAACAGAATTTATGACATTTAACGGAGTTAGAAGTTAGCAGGAAGTTAGCTCGCTAGCTTCTATTTAAATACAATATAGCATGTGCTGACTGCGGGGTTTTGGAAACAAATTCAAACGTACAGCTCTGTTATCACTTCCAACATAAATGAAGACAGAAAACTAAACAGCAGTGACGTTTGTAGGGTTACTGAAGTTTGGCTAGCTGCTATATAATGATGTGCTACGTGACCTAGCGACACAGCTAGCTTGTTAGCATAATATAAACAAGCTAACTTTTTTTCCACTCGATAAAAGTTAACGTGAGTGTTCTCAGTGGTCAGGAACAAATGTAATTGCATGGCAGGATGCTGTAAAAGGACCAAACTTCAGCCAGGAGAACAACTGAGATAATCCATCCACAATACGAGGTTAGTCATTCATATACTGCTGCATGGGCTGGGCTGTAGCTACATCCTAAGGGTTTAAAAACTGAGCTTAAATAAATGATTAGCGGTAATAAAAGCCGAGGGAGGTCAACAGTGATACTGACTGTTTTAGGAGCTTTTTGAGATTAAATAGAAGAAAATACAAAACATTAAACATGTTAACAACACAAAAGCCATATTAAACGCAGACTACTTTATGCCTGGAAGTAGGATTCGTCACGTCATCACTTAACAACCGGATAGGGACCAACATGTAGTGAAGGCAGTGTCCCAGACCTCCTACTGTTCTGATATCAAATCCAAGTCCTTTTACGTCACTTATCGAGCCTTTTCATGTTCATGTTTTAAAGTTACTCCAACTCAATCATCCTTTTTTGCAGAGAAGACTAAAATATCTTCCCCACTCGTACCCACAACATGAAACTATTAGGAAATGTTGTCTGACACATTCAATTAACTGCTACATCGGTGTTAAACATCCAAATTCAGAATGATTAAGACGTTTTGGCTTGAAGCTTGACGTGACGTCAAAGTCAGTATTGCAGTTTTCAAAGCGAGCTCTCGCTGTCATAACCTGTCAGATACCATCAAGAAACAAAGAGCAGTAAATGGGATGTGAGCAGGACGCCGGATTCTGATGTGTTTAATCACAGACAACACTGAACAGACATATTGAGCCACAGCAGCAAAGCAGCCCGAAACGCGGAGAGAGAAGATGAGGCCTCTCGCATATTTGTGCGAAGCCTCATCTTCTGTAATGAGTCTGATCAAAACAAATCAGCGTGCCAGGAAAACGAGTTCAGATCACTGCAGTCGCTGCCAGGAGAACAACAACCCTCAGTGAAACACAGGACCATGAATATCACCCAATTTGATGCGTATCTTCTAAAATACTGAATCTCAGACTCAGTGGCAATCCTTATTAGTCTGCTATGAATTTGGTGATGGATTCTGAAGTGAACTTATTGTGTTTTTGTTCTTATTTCCTGTCATTTCCTGTTCCGATGTTGAACAGTCATATTAAAAACTGATTTTCAAATAATGAAATGTGTATGTACAAATAAATACCCAGATTCAGACAATTCCTTTGATGATGCTGGTGAGGGGATATCCCAAATATGGTCAAAAAACCCCACCCACCTGCTGTGTCCGAACATTTATTCTCCACTCGGGAGTGAGGTTAGCAGGGTGACAACGTTTTCTTTCTTTATTCAGTATTAAAGGTTGTTTCTGTTCTTTAGAAAGAATGCAGAGTTTGGCTCAACAACAGCTGAAAACCTAAAGTCGACTCTCAGCTAGGCTAATGCTAAAAGACAAAGCTAACCAGTTTTTAAGTGATGACGTGATGAACCCTGCTTCCAGGTCCAAACTACTCTCTGTTTATTAAAGCTGTTGTGATTTTAACACGTTTTAATTCTTTGTATCTTGTTCTTTTTAATCTCAACAAGCCCCTAAAAACAGTCAGTGATGACTGTCGGCCTCTCTCAGTTTTTATTACCACCGTTAAATTTAAAGCTCAGTGTTTAAACCCTTACGATGTAACTACAGCCCAGCCCATGCAGCAGTATATTAATGACTAACCTCGTATTGTGGATGGATTATCTCAGTTGTTCTCCTGACTAAAGTTTGGTCCTTTTACAACATCCTGCCATGTGATTACATTTGTCCCTAACCATCGGGAACCCTCACGTTAACTTTTATTGAGTGGAATAAAGTTAGCGTTCATCCTCCAGCTTCACTGTGTTTATGCTATGCTAACAAGCTAGCTGTGTCGCTAGCGATCACGTAGCACATCATTATATATCAGCTAGCCCAACTTCAGTAACCCTACAAACGTCACTGCTGTTTAGTTTTCAGTTTTCATTTATGTTGGAAGTGATAGCAGAGCTGTACGTTTGAATTTTTCAGAAATCTCTCAGTCAGAACATGCTACATCAAGTTTAGGTGGAAGCTAGCGAGCTAACTTCCTGCTAACTTCTAACTCAGTTAAATTTTAAAAATTCTGTTTTTGTGAATGTCTGGATGTTACACCTGGTAAAGCAGCCACACTGATTATTTTATTACAGATGAAAGAATTTAGACAATTTGTAACTCACAGTGATGCTGCAGTGTTTGCTTGACTTTGGGACCTCAAGCAGAGTTTTGACACGGAAACAGTTAATGACGCCAGACTTAAAGACCAGATTCCATTGATAATGGGCAAAACTGAGGAGTTAGACCTGGATGCAGAGCAGCTTGTGACTATAGATTCATTGAAGACTATAATGTGCTGTCAGTGCGCCCCAGGGCAGCTGTGGCTACAATGTAGCTGCCATCACCAGTGTGTGAATGGGTGAATGACTGATTGTAGAGTAAAACGCTTTGGGTCCTTGGGGACTAAGTTTGCTAACCCTGAAACCCTATAAGAACAGCTCATCCAGTTTCCATATGATTGTTTTCTACTCTTCCGTGTTATATGATCATTTAGACCAGAGGCTGAGCCAACCTGCAGATGAAACAAGACGAGGACAACGATAAAAAAATGAAGCTTTTTGTTAAATAAATCAGACACTGATCCTGATGTGCTGTATTAAACTATCTGGGCTTCAGGTGTCAAATCTGACAATATATACAGCTCTAATAATTCTTCCATGCCAGTCATTAAAGAACAAATCAATGAGTCTACATTAGTTCGTGTGTCTTTTTCAGTAAAATAGAAAATTGACTGAAAGGGGAAGAAGCTCTCAACACTCCCCATTTTAGCCTCGACACCCTGCACAGTTTCTTCACACCAGTTCACGCCTCGATTTGTGTGACTCGACGGTGATACACAGTGATGGCGTGAATGAACCCAGAGAGTAGAAAATGCCTTAGAATCACCAAAGAAGCTCTTTCAGCTCTACAGGTTTGAGCAGAAAGTAGTTTCACCTCGGCCTGATGTCGACAAGATGAATATAGAATCTGCTCGTATCGAACCAACGTGGGTTTGACAGGTCGCTCAGTGTGAGCTATAAAAGACTGAGATCCTCACTTCTCGTGACAGTGAACCACACATAAGTTGTAAGTCATGCTGTAAGTACGTTTAAGTAATGCAGGAATAATTTAAAGTTTTGTATATATTTTACAGGAAAGGAGGAATCATTTAAGTACTGCATCATTTTTGTGGTAATTGTGAAGCAAAACAAACAAACTTTCATGTTGTAAGCATGCTGTGCTACAGATTTAGATATTTATTTTTTCATAAAGGAAAATATTTATAGTGTTTAAATAAAAGGACAGTTTAATAATACAATGTCCCAAAAATTACCCCATATTTACAACACAAGATCAGAGAATATTCTTTGATTTTCTGCAGAATTCCCATTAAATCACTTAATGAATGAAACCACTTTAGTTTATTTACATCACATTTCTTTCGTTTTCTGTAAAAACCCGACTTGTTACCTCCTTATTTTACTGTATGTACCTTTAAATATTTGTAAGTAAATATAATGATGTTGTAATTTCAAATAAATCCCATGCTGACTCCCATCATGGACTCTTGTCTACATCGTTCCTGCAAAAGCAGCCACCTCTGAAGCTTTCTTGTTAGACACAAAGCAGCTACACAAAGGAAAAACGTGTGTGTGTGAATGGATGTGTAAGACGTGGTGTGTAAGGCACTCGATGATCAGGTAGAGCAGAGCCAGTCCACTTCCTGGTTTGTGTTGCTGATGCCTCTGTCCTAGATTCTGTTTGAGTGCCATGCTGCTCTCTGTGATCTATGATCCCAATTTCAGGCACACGTCAGGGATTATTAGAGTGAGCAGGATGCAGCTCAATTTGGAGCCGCAGCAGAGAATCTCAATACTTTATAATTAAGAAATATGAAATTGGGAAAAATCATTAAAACTTGTTTTTAAGTATAGAGTGACAGAGGGAGAAAATCATTTTAATCCGTTTACTGTTAAATCTACAAAACAGTGCAGTGTGTGTGTGTGTGTGTGTGTGTGTTTCAGTCTAATGAACAGGAGGTTTATTTAAAAACATAATTTGGTGAAAAACTGACATTTAATGGTTGTATGAGTGCAAACAGATCCTCTGTACACTCCTGCAAAAGCTGAACATGTTTTAAGCGTCCAGTGTTCCAGCCCAGTCTTCATTTATGCTGTGCTAATGTAGCGCTAATATCAACAAGAGGTTTCAGGAGTGAGGCCATGTTAAAAGCAAAACTACAAAAAATGTTTTGTCTCAAAAGATCATTTCCTCCTTCATAACACCTGTACAACATGTTTATAACTCACCTGTTTAAAGCTTATTAAGGCTTAAAGTTTGCATCATTAGGGGCGTGGCTTCTTGAATGACAGGTGGACGGTGACACAGGCGGCTGTAGCTGCTAGCTGTTTGCTAGCTTCACCTGAACTGGACCTCTGGACCACTTTCTTTTTGCTGTTGGAGCATTTTGACATCATGTGACCAATAATATGGCTGCTGTGAGGTCACTGCACTAACAGACCATCCAAGAAGGTTGAGCTCTGGTGTTTGGGTTTGATTTTAATTCTTACTCAGCAGTAATTACCAGACATCTGTGTCTGTGTGATGCCTGAACCAAACTAGCACTCCAAAGAAAAGAAAGAAAGACATAAAGTAATTTTAAAAAAGCTATATGTAAATAAGATAATCAAAAACATCATGGCTGCAGTCCAAGTTTTGTTTAAAATGTTGAAGCCAGATACCAGGGGCTGATGTGACTGTAGAGTCCTCCATCTTTTAGCTACAGTCTAAGCTTTCCTCAGCCTCTCCGACCTGAAACCAGCTGTCAGCTCAGATTTCTTATTAAAATGCGAGCTGAGCCACTTTCTCGCTTAAGATCTGAGATTCAAACTCAATTTTTGAAATTAAAGTTCAGCCTGAACTTGACACAGAAATCAGGGACGGACCCTGAACTACACCCCGGCCAAAGTTCCGTCCAGGCTAGGAGTGATTCACTCACCTTTCAGCGCGGAGACGAGCCGCCTCGGCTCTTTAACGTGTTCATGTTCTCTAGAAGACGCTCCTCAGCCACTGAGACTGGCGCACAACCGTCCGCGTAACTGCGCCAATTACGAGGCACAGGCGCTGCTCCGGCTCCAGTTTCTGAATCCAGTCTGAAGTTTGGGCTCGGTGTGTGTCCGTGCACCGTCACCGGGCTACACGCACACGTCGCCTCTCCAGCAGCTCCGGAGTTGGAGGGAACGGAATCAAACGGATTTCTTTGTGCGCAGCTCGGCGCTCGGTGTCCGCTGACCCCCGCCCCCGCCGCTTCCGAGGAGACGATAAATGCGATTACCTAACGGCGGTGTCCTCCTGAAACCTGCCGCTGGATTTTCATCTGTGTTTGACAGCAGGACCGTCCTCCTCCTCCCCCCTCCCCCCCATCCTCCTCTTCCTCTTCTCACACCCTCCCATCTCCAGCCCTTCTCGCCGATGCACTGTAAAACACAGACAGGCTGAATGTGCGGGAAGAAGTTTTGTCTGATGTGAGAGACACAAAGAGGTAAAAGAAAGAGACGCGTGTAAAAGTTTAACCATTTAATCTTCAGGAGTCACTAAAAGCTCCGCAGCTCTGAGGTCGGACCGGATAATTCACGCTGCAGGATTTAAACTTACAGCAAGTCTGTGTGACTCCATCACAGGTCAGAAGGAGAGCGTGCAGCCCTCTGCCACAAATCACAAACACTGAGGGAACAGAAGCAGCAAAAACTCTCAGCTGCAACAGTAAGTCTGATGTAACCAAGAGAAAAAAGAAAGCGCGCTGCATCCATTCTGATCAGAGCAGCGGGTCTACTGCACAGCCTCTTTATTAATAATGGATTGGATTTATATATGGATTTAGAGCTGTGCGTCTCACATCTACATGCAAGTGGATTCAATTTCATGTACACACTCTGTAGACTCCAATTTGGTGCTGCTGCACTACAACGGGACCCTACTGTACATGCGTTCTGTAAGCCTTCTAGAAAAGAATATAAAGCTTGATTAGACGCCTGATGACTGACACCACAGACGAGTATGTTCTTATTTTCTACTCCTGGAGGGACATACGCAGAGTTAGTCCCTGTTTTTGTTCAGATACTCCAAACTAAATGTCACAAATTCCAGGTGGTAAAAAACAAATGATGAAAAGCTGCAGTTCCTCTACCGTCCAGCAGAGGCAGCAGTGAGTCAATCCCCATAGACTCCCATGTTAAAGCTTTCCAGCAGAAATAAACATGTTTACAGCCTGATACACAAACTGTTTGCTCTGTGTGGATCATTTCATAACACCTGTTAGCATTATAAGGGGCGTGGCCTATTTGTGGTGTCACCTCAGCTAACTGGAGTCGCTGAACTGGACCTCTGGACCATGTTTGTGCTGTCTGAACCTTTTTAATGACATCATCTGACCTATAAGGGAATG